TTGTGTTTTTCTTTAACTTTTATGGTTTTTTAAATATACTTTTAAATATTTTTATATGTTTATACAATCTTATTATTTTATGTACAAGACTTACGACTTCAGTTCTTTTCTTATTGACATATTTACATTCAAAAACATCAAATGCATCACTTTCTCAGTTTTAAGTCTTGCTCGGCGATTAGAGATGTGTCGTACTAGGTAAATTATGTACTAGGTGCACTTAGTCCAATTCCGTACAAATACTCGATCCAAATACCTGTTCCACCTAGTCCATGAAGTACGCATAGAGTTTGGTATTGTTGGAATACTATACACTTTAAAGTGCACTTAGTCTTTACGTACAGACGATCCTGATACGTAAAGGTAATGAATAGTAATCAATCGTCCATTCATACTTCCATTTACACAGGCTTATGACTGATCAACGTTAAGATTTATTTACATTCTAGATTGTTGGCGTATTTCAAAGATTACAATTCATTTTTTATTTAAGAGTAATCCCATTTTTGTCTTATTCTCGCTTATTTTTTTTTATTATTTTATTGTCGTCTTTTTACTTACCTATCTCTATTATTGTTGTCTGTGTATGTCTCTATCTCAATTATTGTTTTTTTTTACATACGCGCGAAAAATCAGTCTTAAGAGTATTTAAAACTAAATTATATTTTACAAATGTTACCCTCACACATTTGTTAGCATTTGTCCGTAAAATGATCACAAGCGACACTGTTGCATTTTTTTAAACAATAAAAACTTTCATGTCTAATAAAAAAAAGTGAAAGTTCTTTAACCACATAATAAAACTTCGTTACGAAAACCTATTACTAAATAAGTCGAGTAGGTATCATTAACGGTGCCGAGATCACATTGGCATTAGTCCATACTAGACACTCGACTGCATCATATGGTCTCCATTCGCATCGAGTATTTACTAGTACCTAGTCTATAAAATCTGCCTAGTATTTGGTTGAAGTCCCCGGGACTAGTCCCGACTAGTTTTGAGTATTGACAGACAAAAATAGAAAGACTGCGGAATAGTGTAGTTAAAAAAGGAGAGAATATATTCTTGCACAACACAAGGCGCGTTGTGTTACTTTTATACACATTGAAATATAGTTCAAATTCAAATGACTGACACACGAATAATTTAGGCAAACACGAGTGAGCGGCAAAGCAGATTAGTAACTATGGCAACAAAATGCTATCTCGCTTTGCCGCGCCGGTACTTCTACTATTTCGATTCGAGCGGGCCGCTGCGTTGTGCCGTGCGACTACGATCGTTCATTCAATATGTCTGGCAACACTGAGTGCGACGGGTAGGCACAGTGAGATTAGGTGGATCAAGTATTTTAAAAGCTGGAACAGGTGCAAGCTAGTCTCGTTTAATACCTAGTGCCTAGACCTGTTCTAGTATATACATGTCTATCGGCGATATGATATGTGTTAAGGATTATGGGGATAATTAAAGATATAATATTGAACATAAAACGTGCTTTTTATTAACCTCAAAACAGCAGCCTATAACATAGATAAATATATATAGCAAGCGCCTATAATATCATATTGAACCAGTGTTGACAACCGACGCAGTGTTGCCATTAAAATACAATATTATATAAATCATTGTTAATTAACAATATGAAGTATTCAGAATTCCAGACTGTGAAAATATGCGCTCGCAGGATACTGATGTGCTCATTGCGCAACTTTTGCCCCAAGAATAGGCACGACGCGTGCAAAACGCTTCCTCTGTCACTCACTATCAAGGTTTTATTGAATAACCTAATATGTGAACAAGTATTATCTAATATGACACTTCTGCCGTGTACCTAATACGAATATATTAATCTCACCTCTAACGAGAAAAGACTTTGAATTGACATTTTTGTCAATGTCATTTGATTTCGATTCGATCACATTTCGTAATACGTTCGTGAAACGTTCATTTGGGATATTCTAAGAAAATGTCGTTGTGGTCGACGATAAATCGCAATGTTTTCAAGCGAACTTCGACGTTTGCTTTGACTGTGGCTGCAGGAACTTTCTTTTTTGAAAGATCCTTTGAGGTGATCTCTGTAACCATATTTGAAAGCATCAACAAAGGAGTAAGTCTTGTTATGTAATTTTTATTGAAAACTATTTTGTTCTATATAAAATAATAACATAACTTCAATTATTAGCATGATGAATTCGTTAAAATTAGCTTAATAAAGCGTATAATTCTTGTGCCTGCTCGATAATTCATATGTTCACTCTGTAGTAATAATTATCGGACACATTATTATTTGCTCCTTTTTATAATATTGTGTGATTTTACTAGACTTGCCTAGGTATTCGTTTTTCAGTCTTTCGACAGTAAACTGTTTCTATCCAACTACATATTAAAACATAAATTATACTTGCGATTGTTCACTTGGTAAAACTCCAGCTTCATTTTTATGATTTGGCGAAGTACAAGTGTTTATCCAAATCACAATAATTTAAAATTTTGTACAGCCAACTTTAATATAAGTTATTAAGATTAACTCAATAACTATTGATCTGACCTTGATTATATTCATATGGGACCACACAAGAAGTGTCAGCTTTCAAATAAAAAAAGAATCATCGAAATTGGTTCACCCAGTAAAAAAACATACAGTCTAATTGAGTACCGTCTCCTTTTTGTAGGTCGGCAGAAAATACTTTCATTAACCTACTTAAGCTGATATTACTTTTTTAACTATTAAATTGCAAGGAAATGGTTCCATTTAGTTTATTATTTGCAAATTATACTCTGCAAATGAGGAGAACAATAACTGCAAAATTATTGTTGAGTGAAATAAGAATAAAAAAAGAGCAATCTGACTATTCTGTGGTTTGGGCAATTAGCATGTATGAGTAGGTATGTAAGCACAATGTCAGAGGTTAGGCATCTGCTGCCAGTCCACTCTTTTAATATGCAAGTGACTTGACAGACTTATTAACTCTATGAGATGTATTCATATTGTCTAAGTACAGCTTACACTTGACCAATTTTTATTAAGTACTTAAATATTAAAAGCGGTAGCATATAAAGTGGTAGAGCCATGCTGCAACTATATTAGTAGTATAGTTGTAGCACGAATGGGTCGGCTCGACCGAGGAAGGACCACACTCACAGAATACCAGTGTTAAATAGCAGCTTAATGCTGCTGTGTTTCGTATGGTGAGTGTAGAGAACCGGAGGCCCTTTTTACTGGAAAAGAGGCATTCCATCTTAGTCCTCACGGTTGATAACGCATCTGCATTTTGATTCGCAAACGAGGATAAATGTAGATGTCTATGGGCCACAGCAGCCACTTACCATCAGGTGGACTGTGTGCTCGTTTGTCACCCTATCCTATAAAAAAAAAGTGGGTAAAAAAATTGTTGATTATTGTTCTAGCCACCATTTTTACATGTCTTTTAGCCAATGTTCATATTTTCTAATGGCTATGCTTATCTTTTTCAGAAACTGTGGAAGGATATCAAGCACAAGTATGAGACATAAGGTGTATGGAGTAAAAGTAACTTCTTCCTCAATAATGTAATTTATTAGAATAATTGTTATAAACTTGATTAAATTATGTTTACTCGCTAAAATTTGTTTTATTTAAATATTAGTAATATACAACAATTACAATAAATATAAATTTCACATTGACTAGACCTAAAACAAAGACATAATAATATGTCACAGCTGAAATAATAGAAAATTATCATTCACAGCCTTACTCATAAAAATCGACATCAATTTAAGAAATGCTAAATAAAAAAAGTTGCTCTCTTTCTGTTCACTACAGCCGTATATCCACCAAAAATGTTGACAACAGTTATGTTTCCAACAAGCGTCTCCACCGAGGGAACAAATGTTGGCAACAAGCATATTCCTTTGATGTTGCCGTCGAAAATGGAAAGAAGTTTTGTTGGCAACTGTTGTGTTGGCAACAAAAGTTTGGTGGAGATGCAGCTTAAATGACAATAGAAAGAGACATGTATAGATATAATTAATACTCAATTTAAGTGATATAATCAACTATAATACTAAGCAAGGCCACCAGTGTTAGTAAACAGAGTTAATATTTTTTAATTACTTTATTATAAAATTCAAATGAGCATTAAGGTTTCTGAACTATTTAAATCATTTATTTGTAATAAAAACTTAAAGTTTATATATATATATATATATATATATATAGGTTAAATAGTATAATATCGAACTTAGTGATAAATTAATTATTTTTATAAGGTATAAAAATTTACATTTAAGTGTAGTGAATCTTGCATTAGATGAGGGAAATGTTTTGCTTTCAATGATTTGATTCCGTGAACAAAGTTCAAGACTACCATCATCAATATAATAATGGTATTATTGGAAATAAAGTGATTGTTTTCTTGAGAAATCTGTAGTGTTGCATGTAAATATACTGTTTTTATTTCATCTTCTAGTTCGCTATATTATTAAATAACATTTCAACAACTGATGGACTTATTATCATGTTGGTAAATAATGCTAAGCATTCAAATGTGCAATACGGTTCTCTTTTTTCTTGTCAGACTATTTACAAAAACTACATCACAATCATATTATACCTATATATGTATTCTTTGCAGAAATATATATTATCGAATTTAACAATCTTCTAATTTTTTTTAAATAGAGACAATAAAATGAGATTTATTAAATTAATATAAATACTTAGAATATTATGGCTCACAGAATAGCCATAGTTCACACTCTATCAAGAAATAATCACTGTGTTCATTCAGAAGGTAAGAAGGAGAAATTTATGGGTATAAAATATTTGAAACAACATGTTAATGTATTTATACGTTTAGCGTCACATGGCTTTTAAAATAAGTCTTTCATAGAATGAATTTCTGCTTCTTGTGGCCTCCTTAGTCTATTCACCTATTCATTCTCTACTTTTCACAGTATAGACTGTTTGAGACTACACAGATAATAACCAGTACCGTTATCTTTGTACTTTTAAGTAGTATTACTTGCAAGATCTATGACGGGCATATTCGGGGTCATCTGTAAGGGTATCCGCTGACGAGGAAGAAGGAAGGGATCTGGGTTGCAAAGGTAATGGAGTGTCATACTGAGGTTCTTCTGCTAATGCCAAAACAATGTCAACTAAGAGCGGCTGTGCTAAATTCTTGATTGCTTCCTGACGTGCCACCTGTAAGATAGAATATTATTTAAGATGTTTGAAACCATTGAAGTAACATGTACTTTGTACTAGAATAAACACCGCGAACAAAAGCACAAAATCTGTGTGTCTGTGCCGTTACAAACAAACTAGGAATTGCTTCAATATTTGAAACCTGCAAAATGATTGTAAAGAAATTATTTATAAATTAAACAGTATATATGCCCAATAGTTACGATGCGAAGGAATCCATCACTCCATTTCTTTCCGTGAGTCAATATGACAGTATTTAATTTTTATAGAAGTAAGGGTGCAAAACGAACACAGGCCACCTGACGATAAGTGTATGCTGTAACCTATAGATTACCCATAGACTACAATTATGCAGACATTTTTTTACATTACATCTGCAGATACGTTGTCACGCTCATTAAGATTGAATGCTTTGTTACTAGTAAAACTAGCTTCCGGTTCTCTACACCCATATGAAATACAGCAGCATTATGATGCTGTTACATGCTAGTATTCGGTGAGAGCGCGGACTTTCCCAGTCGAGCAGACTTATTCGTGTTGCAGCGTGGCTCTACCGCGTAATAAGAAGTATAATCTTATGACGTCAGACAGATGCTATAGTGATAAACGAATTATAGTAAGTGGCTACTACGGTCCATGCACTGGCAGCCAAATTCAAACAAAGAAGGCTGGAGATATGTCGTCACCTCTGAGAACTAAGATGGCAGTTTTTTTGAAGAATCAGTCTGTAATTATACTGACTCTATATTACCATACCATCTATCTATCTATCTATCTATCTATCTATTACTTTCTCGTTTAACGTTCTTTTATATTCTAAAGAAACGCACAGTTTATACAATTCAGACGAGAATATATCAGTCCAAGTACTGCTATTTGGCGGCAGAAATAAAAATTACAATAAGAGTTTTTAATTGAACAGATTTGACAAACAAGCTGTCAGTCCAGTTATAATAGCCCGAAAGTTATGAATATAAAATTGTAGAAGTAATACTATATATTTGTAAATCAGTTCATGAAAATTATTTTAAAACGAACACAAAGAGACCCTTTGCAGCTGTGCAGGCTTTCCACAAAGAGCAGCCGTACAGGCTTTCTCAAATTTATAGCACAACTAATAAATTTCCTAGAAAATGGCTAACCCCTAAAAACTGGCTAAAAAGGAAAACTATTTTTTTTATAGGATAAGGGTGACAAACGAGCACACAGTCCACCTGATGGTAAGTGGTTACTGTGGCCCATAGACATCTACATTTATCCTCGATTACGAATCAAAATGCAGATGCGTTGTCACCCGTGAGGACTAAGATGGAATGCCTCGTTTCCAGTAAAAAGGGTCTGCGGTTCTCTACACTCACCATACGAAACACAGCTGCATCAAGCTGCTATTTTACGCTGGTATTCTGTGAGAGCGTGAACCTTTCCCGGTCGAGCGTGCTACAACTATACCAGAAATAGCTGCAGCGTGGCTCTACCACGTAACTAGTTTTTCATTTCAAAAATATACAGACACTATGAGAGATATGTTTTTATTTAGTGTGATCATCCATTCCATCCATTCCATTACAGGTACAGTCTACAGCTGAACATAGGCCTCCCTCATAGATTGCCTCATAAGGGATTTTGCCATAGTTGCCACGCTTGGCGAGCGGGTTGGCAACTGCAGATTTTTATTATTTAGAGTTGTTATCAGGAAGATGCTGCTGCCCATCTCCTGTTTTCTTTTCCCTCTGTCGCCTCTTATGACAACCTCGAGACGATATGGGGTAGTGCATATTCTTGCAACGCCACTACACGGTTGTTTTTTTAGTAGTAATTAGTGATGGTGAGTAGTAATTAGTATGATGGTGACAAAATATCCTGCACCATTGAAACTGTCACGATGCACGAAGCTAACGCTGCGGTGGTTAGTCACGCGTCTATAGAGAAATATAGCTATAGTGCACCATAAAGCGTGAGCCAGCCAGTCAGCCACCTTAGCGTAAATCTTGTCGGGAACCACCTACGATCAACCGTCGAACACCTAGGGGTTCGCACACCTCACTCGTAGAAACCCCATATAGAGTAACAACTTACAACTCCAAAATGGTGAGCGATCATCTTCAAAGCATATTCCTTGATGTCGGTCGCGTGCATTCTGTCAGCGGCCTGCAGAATCGCTAGGACGTTTTCCGGCGACACATTACTCTGCAGATTGTGTTTGCAGAATACTTGTAGACGATTGTTTGTAAAACCTGCAAACAAAATGGTATATGTAATGTGCTTTCGTAAGTGCTTTATTTTATTTGTATACTTTAATGAATAAAAATACTACACATGGCGGACTTAATGCCTAAATTCATTCTCTCCTAGTCAACCATTAGACTTAGCAGAGATAAATACGTATACCTATAAGAGGCGGTGCGGCAAAACTAAAAAGAAAAAAGAATATTGGTGAACCAATCGCATAATTTCTCGGGAAGCCCATAGGAAGGAATCTTTGAAAGAAGCGCTTTGTGCCAGTCACGATCGAAGGCCTTCCCTATGTCCAAACTTACCGCCAAGGTCTCCCCCTTGGACTCGGTCGCCTGTGCCCATCTGTGTTAGGTAAATAAGAAGATCACCAGCTGAGTGACCCCGACGTAAACCGTATTGGCGGTCACTAATCAGCTGGTGCTCCTCAAGATACCGCATGAGCTGACAGTTAATAATGGACTCCATTATTTTCGAGAAGGAGGTCATGGCGATAGGCGTGTAGTTGGACGGATCAGAGCAGTTACCTTTTTTAGGGATCGGATGCACGAAAGCTGTGCTGTGCTACGTAGTACGCAAAGCACTCCTCTCCCTGGACATCCACAAGTTGAGTGGGCCTGACGGAATCGCGCCAATTGTGCCGAGGACGTGCGCTTGAGAGTTGGCACCGGTTATAACGCGTCTTTTCCGGTACTCCTACTCCTTAGGTGGTGTCCCGAATTCACGGAAGACAGCTTTGGTCCACCCGATCCCTAAAAAAGGCGACCACTCATATCCGTCTAACTACAGGCCTGTCGCCATCACCTCCTTGTTCTTGTTCAAAATAATGAAATTCATTATAAACTGCCAGCTCATAAGGTATCTTAAGCGTCACCAGCTGATTAGTGACCGCCAATACGGTTTTCGTCGAGGTCGATCAGCTGGTGATCTTTTGGTCTACCTGACTATAGATGGGCTGAGGCAATAGAGGCCTTGGCCGTTAGTTTGGGAATAGCGAAGGCCTTCAATCGGGTTAGGTACAAAGCTCTTCTTTCGAAGCTTCCTTCCCATGGGCTTCCCGGGAAATTATGTAATTGGATCACAAGTTTTCTTGCAGATCAGAGCGTCATGGTCGTAGTAGTTATAGCGTGTACGTGAATGGTCTCGCCTATCTTTCTCGCTCTAACATACACGTACACTATGCTCTTTCTCTTTTGCATCGCCAATCTATTCTAACGTCAGTTTATACTAAATCTTTGTTATAAACAAATACTTCCCTACGTAAGTTCACGACTATTATCCCTATTATTGATGACATTAACTGTTCACAGATCTAAATCAGTAAACTCTTTTTCCTTTCATTTATATGGGTGTTTTTAGAATGAAGGTAACCATGTGTTTAGATGGAAGCAGGAAAGGTAATGCTATGTACAAAATGTGTGCGAAGATTTATATAGTGTTTGTGCCGTATGATTTTTATCATGTACGGACGCACAAAACAGGCAAAACATACAAAGCGTACATATACGGAAATATACAGAGTGTAACATGATTTCCGTCATGAAAGGACACATTAAGTGAGCAAGACATACAAACCATATACGGAATATACAGAGTGCCACATCATTTCCGTAATGAACGGACGCATGAAGTGAGCAAAACATACAAACCATATACGGAATATACAGAGTGCCACATCATTTCCATAATGAACGGACGCATGAAGTGAGCAAAACATACGAACTATATACGGAATATACAGAGTGCCACATCATTTCCGTCATGAACGGACGCATGAAGTGAGCAAAACATACGAACTATATACGGAATATACAGAGTGCCACATCATTTCCGTCATGAACGGACGCATGAAGTGAGCAAAACATACAAACCATATACGGAATATACAGAGTGCCACATCATTTCCGTAATGAACGGACGCATGAAGTGAGCAAAACATACAAACCATATACGGAATATACAGAGTGCCACATCATTTCCGTCATGAACGGACGCATGAAGTGAGCAAAACATACAAACCATATACGGAATATACAGAGTGCCACATCATTTCCGTCATGAACGGACGCATGAAGTGAGCAAAACATACGAACTATATACGGAATATACAGAGTGCCACATCATTTCCGTCATGAACGGACGCATGAAGTGAGCAAAACATACAAACCATATACGGAATATACAGAGTGCCACATCATTTCCGTCATGAACGGACGCATGAAGTGAGCAAAACATACAAACCATATACGGAATATACAGAGTGCCACATCATTTCCATAATGAACGGACGCATGAAGTGAGCAAAACATACGAACTATATACGGAATATACAGAGTGCCACATCATTTCCGTCATGAACGGACGCATGAAGTGAGCAAAACATACGAACTATATACGGAATATACAGAGTGCCACATCATTTCCGTCATGAACGGACGCATGAAGTGAGCAAAACATACAAACCATATACGGAATATACAGAGTGCCACATCATTTCCGTAATGAACGGACGCATGAAGTGAGCAAAACATACAAACCATATACGGAATATACAGAGTACCACATCATTTCCGTCATGAACGGACGCATGAAGTGAGCAAAACATACAAACCATATACGGAATATACAGAGTGCCACATCATTTCCGTCATGAACGGACGCATGAAGTGAGCAAAACATACGAACTATATACGGAATATACAGAGTGCCACATCATTTCCGTCATGAACGGACGCATGAAGTGAGCAAAACATACAAACCATATACGGAATATACAGAGTGCCACATCATTTCCGTCATGAACGGACGCATGAAGTGAGCAAAACATACAAACCATATACGGAATATACAGAGTGCCACATCATTTCCGTCATGATTGGACACATGATAAGGCGCCTTTAACGCGAACGTTACGCATTCTTAATAGAATGGCTGAAGGCATTGACCTATTCTATTGCACCTTGAGTGAATTTACTAGGGTAGGATTGTTTACAATATGTTACAGTTAATGACCACATTTTTGTTATGCATGATAAGTACTACACTGTCGCATTAGGTTTTCTTCATACATACAACATCGAGTAACATACGAGTGCCACATCATTTCCGTCATGAACGGACACATGAAGTGAGCAAAACATATGAACTATATACGGAATATACAGAGTGCCACATCATTTCCGTAATGAATGGACGCATGAAGTGAGCAAAACATACGAACTATATACGGAATATACATTAACAATATTCACTCTTGAAATTCTGAAAAATGGAAGATGAATTAAGTATGATTGCGTCACGAGTCAGGAAATTAACATGGGTGTTCAAGAATCTTAGGCATGTAACCGACATAGAGCTTCTTCGCACTGTATATTATGCACTAGTTCAATCTGTCATTGGCTATTGCATCGGAGTATGTGGAGGCGCATGTAAAACACACATCATACACCTTGAGAGAGCTCAACATTCTTTGCTCAAAACAATGACATTTAAGCCTTACAGATTCCCCACCAATACCCTTTATGAGATGTGTCAAGTTCTCACAGTAAGGCAGTTATTTATTTACCACATCATCACCAAACAGCATGTTTCTGACCCTTATGACCCAAATATATTACGTAATAAGCGTACAATTACCAATGTTATTGATCCCCTAAGATGCCGTACTGCATTAGCAGGGCGACAAAGAAGTTTTCTTTCTGGGTATCTTTATAATAAAGTTAATAAAATTCAAAATTTTTATCCACTATCACTTCACGAATGTCAAACTAAAATAAGGAAGTGGCTAGTTACATTAAACTACGAGGATAGTGAAAAAATACTGAAATAGGTGAAGCATAAATGTAAAACGAACACACGCACGCACCGTCGCACGCACGCACACACACAATTATCAAATAACATTCTGTAAGAATTACTGTTATTAGCTTATTCTGGAAACACACTCAGGAAAATTGTCTTGAATTGAATTAGGCTAAGAAACATGGGAGAAGGTGCTGAATCCTGACATACAGGTTCTTAACTAGTTTAGGATTCAGAGGCTTCATAAGCTATTTGTAACCTCATATTAATAAAGATTATTATTATTATCTATCGTAAAAAGACACAAGAAGTCGTCAGCGATGTTTCTAAAAGGATTAAGAGAATATGTCCTGAGTAACTAATTCATCTATCGACACAGCACTCAAGCCGCTATACATAGAAATTTGAAATTTGGACAGTACCTGCATTTTATGTTGTAAACTTAACTTGACTAACCACTTAGAAAGGATTTTAAAAATTCAACCTCAAAGAGGAAGAAGTAGAAGTAAGTTTGTAAGACCCTTTTTATTATCCCAGTTTCTCAGTTCCCTAAAAAAAAATTCTATCCCGAACGGTTCGCGGTCTACGCCATGTTTTATAAAATTCCGAAAATTCGTACTTCTGCTCACATTTGTGGTCCTCACGTCCGCAGTTTAATGCCCAGATCGGATTTTTTTCTTTTAATGTGTTCCCCAAAAATGATGTTTCTAAATTACTCTTATAATTTTTCAACTACTATGGGTAGTATTTTACTAGACGGCACTAAATATAAGTTTAAACTTTTTACTTTATTTAACTGCTATGTTTGAGCACCTGTGGTGAAAAAAAAAAACGTATAGGATCTGTGTGGCCAACTATTTAAAAAGTTTGCTCATCATAAGGATTCAACATCATAAGAATTCCAAAACATCAGCATACCATGCAAACATCATAAGAATTCCAAAACATCAGCATACCATGTACTTAATGTCAATACTTACTGAGCTATAGCCGTTAATGTGTAAAAGTAGGATTTCATTACAAAATTACAAAATTATAGGCAGACAGTTTTTTTTTAACAATGCATGTCTTTATTATGTGATCTTGGTGGCCATTGGCCACAATATCGGTCTCATTCGGCCGATCCACCGATCACGGTTGGCTTCGTTTAAGTAACTCCTTACTTGGACGGCGTAATGTGCCGGACAACCATCATTATATATATATATGAAATCAGTTCAGAAGTTCAGAGTTCATCGCGGACAAACAATGTGACACGTAATTTAAAAAAAACACTAATACGCCATTCAGTTGTAGTCCTGAAGAAAACACACACCGTCTGTTACGTAATGGCTACAATGCTGTTACGATGGATTAATATTGAAATAATTATTTAAGACTTCCTGTTTGTTAATTTTACATAGAATACTAAGACGTAAATACAAAGGCACAAATTACTTACCGTAATAGATGGGCGCTTGAAATAAATAAAGTGAGTCTTCTGTGGGCATGTTGGTTTCACCGTAATAAATGTAGCGCAGCAGAGAGTCGAACGCCTCCTCCGTCGGAACTGTGTCGCAAATTTGTATCTGTAAATAGAAGTTACAATTCAATACCAGTATGTAAACATCTAGGAGTTTATCTACGCTAGAGAGTCGTCTTATAGAAAAAACAGCTATGTAATCATATTAAATTATTACATTTTACTAGTACAAAAATGTGTATGGTTGATTTACCAGAAAATACGATTTTAAGTTTACTTTTAATAAGTTTTGATTAACCGTAAATTTGTTGTAACTCATTTTACGATTCATTAATAAAAATAGGTATAAGGGGATCCAAATTTCATGATCATAAACAAATTGAGAGAAATCAAGCAACAGTGCAAACGTAAAGCTTGACAGACTTAAGGCCTGAATGACCATGACGAAACGGTCACAGCAGAGATTTTAGCCCACTTCAACACCATCTAGCGACTACGTTCTGTATTACTTAGAAAAGTGCAAAGATTAATAGACTGCAGAGGTGACAAGTATATAAGTGATATACTACCTATTATGTTTGCGCGTCACTGGGGTTATGTCGCGGTTAAGCATCTTCAATTACATTGCACGATGTGGTGCTGTAGCTTCGTCAGTAAGTTTTAAGTACGTAAGAGTTTTTATTATATTCGTTGAATCGTATTTATTTATATCGTATTAGTAGCTTTAGGTCTAAGCGCTCGCTGTAAATTTCACCCGGGTTTGATCCCCGGCAGCGGTGAAGGAAAACGTCGTGGGAAAACCTGCATATGTCTGAGGAATAAGAAAAAAAATTTCAAAGACATGTGAAGTTCGCCAACACGCATTGGGGCAGCGCAGCGGACATTTCCTTGCCCTAAAACCCTCTCAGAAGTAAGAGGCGACCTGTGCCCAGCATAGGGACTTACATAGCCTGTTACTTTACTTTTGTATCGTATACGTATTCGATTCAGATACATAAGGGTAACTAAGGCTGACAAAAATATCATGTGGAGGCCACGAAAACGTAAAACATTTTTGTACCTAATGTTCTAGTGATTGTCAGTCATTTCATACGCCACATTTCCTATAGAGTTTAGAACGTTTCAGAGAGGGCAAAATAAAAAATAATACAAAATATTATGGGAATGATTTATTAATAATATATGCACTTATAGGTATTTATAATACAAATAATGAACAAGCTGCAAGGTTCAACTGATAGTGTTTCTTGTAAACACAATCGTAAAATTGCTGTTCTCATTTTTATCAATGGCGAATTGATGAAACGTAGTCAAGATCTCTTTATATAAAATATATTGCATGCCTTAAGCGCAAAGTGCGTAGGTATGTTCTACTAGTGCATAACATTTTGTCGCATAAAATCGTATCTAACAATCATATTGAATAATTGAACATATCAATGATATAAAAAGCACATTTTCAGAAATATAGATGATTGTTGAACTTTTTTTTAAATCGATTAATTGCTTTAGATTTATCAAGATTTATCAAGACCGCATGGAGGGGTAAACACGATATCTTTTGAAAATATAAATTTTTCAACTCAATCTATTTTTTAATCTCTTCGTCTATCATGTGGGAATCCATGGAATGTATTTAGTTATAATTAGTTTTTTTCGGCGTACAAATCCCAAAATTTTCGGTGTTTTAAGCAACCTTGTAATAATTTATTTTACTAAATAGACTGCGGCTGCCTCATTCACTCACTTCGGCTTCAGCCACCGTCATGAGTGGAAACTATATCGATTGTTTGCAGCGACTCAAGAAGATCGCTGTACAAATACAAAATATTCGAAAAACCAAATATAATACATACTTGATTATTATAATCACCGATTTTTATTAAAATATTTTAAAATCACAGAATAAACAATAGTACTACGTACTAAAAGTAAGTAGGATGTATGTATTTAAGTAGGTATATTTATACTTAAATACGTCTAAGACTTAATAGAGTGACTTGAATGATGATATGATGATCATATAAGCATTATGAGTCGTGAACTTTTGGATTTTCCAAACTTTTTTTAATTGAAGTTTGACACAGAATTATTGGAAAATTGGAAGTATAATATAAGGTTATTAGTACTTAGTATAATGAGGTTATTAGTGAAAACTTGTGTGTATTTTAACTTGTGTGTAAACTACTCTAAAAATTTACTTATAATCATGTTATACGTAATTCTTTAATGCGCTTAGGGCATGCACAATTGGATTTACCAATAGTTCATTTAATTAAATTGCATGGCGTATTTGGCCTTCTACTTAAAATTCGGTGGAAATTTGAAAAGAAGTATTTTGTTTGTTCTTAATTCTCTTGTGTATACCATTTTTCACAGAAGTATTGTTTACAACTGGCGTGGAAGTTGCTGGATGCAAATGGCATAACGTTGACAAAAGTGTCCCGCGGTTAAGAGAAGCGGAACATGGTCTCGAAGTAAGATAATGCAATGGTTAAGACATGCAGATAGTCATAAACACAGGTGACCATATTTGTGGTATTCGAAGGCCTGTGTATTTGTCTAGTGAAGGGGTGTGATCATGATACTGTCGGGACTTTGTTCCGCGGGCAGAAGAACCGGAACATAGCCTCGAAGTATGTTAAAACAGGTAAGAAGTTGATGGATGCAAGTGGCATTTTCTTGAGGGTGGGAGTGGGGTGAGTCTTTTGTGCAGAAGACATGTGAAGAAGCGTAATGATGAAGACGATGATAATATTAACAGTACTTACGTTGACAACGTCATCAGGCAAGCAGAAAGAGCGGTATATAGCTTCGAAGTATGATAGTACAACAGTCAAAACACGCAGTAAGTCGGATAGTCGATATGTGCAAGTGTGGCTAGGGACCGTGTATTGTAGCATACCTTAAGAACGTAACTTAACTTGTGAGAGTGTCTAATGATGGTTATGACAATGATATGAAGAGCACTCACGTTGACGATGTTGTCTTTCGGGCAGAAAGAACGAAACATGGCTTCGAAGTAGGCAGCACGTGCGGCGAGCACGGAGCGGTGCGCGGGGCGCGCCACGGCGCCCACGCGCAGCACCACGTCGCTCAGCTCCGCGCCGCCGCACAGGAACACGCACATGTCCTGCTCCAGCGTCGTGCCGCCTGACACAACAATACACACTTACATACACCACGTGTGCACACACCCACACCCCCACGCACTCACGCACCCTCGCACCCACGCTCGCACGCACCCATGCACCCACACACCCATGTACGCACGTACGCACGCACGCACGAACGCACGCACGCACGCACGCACGCACGAACGCACGCACGCACGCACGCACGCACGTCCTGCTCCAGGGTCATGCCACCTGACACTCACCAACACAACATAGTTACCCTTACAGCCTAAACAAAAACTACTGCTGATAGGTCTTTCCCATAAAACGCACGCACACACATCCCATCACACACATACACGTACACGCACACACGCTCACACATTCACATGTCCTGAGCCAGCGTCGTGCTGCGCCAACCGAATAAAATTACACGTTACAACCTTTAGATAGGCCTCCTCCATAGATTTCCTCATATAGGATATTTACCATAATATCCGCAACAAAAGTAATTTATTATTTTGAGTTGTTGTCAACAAGATGCAACATCTGTTTCATTTCCCTCTGTCACCTCTTACACGCACACCCACGAAACAAAATAATATATTGGATTCTCATAAGCTATCATTATACGGCAATGTTGATTAAAATTGTTTCATATTATTATTAAATTACACATTTCGTACGATTCTATGTTTCAGTAAAAATCATTAAGCCCACATCCCAACTTTTACAGAATACTATTTATATATTTGTGACTTTTTATATTTTATTACCTACATGTATTAAAAGATAATGAAACTTGGTATATAAAAATAGTGGCTTTATTAATTAAATATATAATTGAAATTGTTTATTATATGTTACATAACCAATATGATTTTGTATTGTGATAATCTCTAGTTTTGTGTTTTTTTAACTGTCACATATTTGTAAAGCAGTTTTTTAATAGGGTTTCAGTTCAAAAATTTTAGTTTTAAATTATCTAAATCTAGCCAGCTATAATTGCAAATATTATCTGCATTTGAACAAAAACATAATACAGTGCAACCTCGATATAACGAAACTGAAACTGAAATTCGTTATAATGAGATTTATTATAGTATAGAGGTTAGTTGGGACTACGATTCGTTTTAACAAGGTAAGAAAATTTGTTATTGACCTCAACATTACGTAAATACTCGCTTGCTTACCCTGTTAAAGCGAACGACAAACAGCAGTGTTTACATTCCTTAGCATTACACAACAATGACTGTCTTACTAAGAATTTAACGTGTCTGAACCTGTCAAGATATGATTTATTGTGGATATGGATGTATAAAAAAAGGCGGACTGAATCTCGCTACACAACTCAGGGTAGCACCAAATATAAGTCTAAGGCCCGCCATTACGCAACAAACGTAGTCCGCGAGAAGTGGTAATTGTAAAAAATAAAAATTAATATTTCGTTTTGCGTCGTAAAATCTTGCAAAAACACACGTCACATGATCAGTGTTCTTAATTATTTTTGGGGCAAGATTACTCCAAATTTGGGAAATTGCTATTTTTATCCACCTCGGAGCGGATACAGTATAAATGTGTTCGCCCTAAGAAGTTGTTTTTTGTGCACTGTTTTGGTACCATTTTCCTGAAAAACTTTTAAATAGATTATAATGCGGTTTTTAGCATTAGATATTCTTATATAGCTTCTGAGAAGATTCTTAGGTAAAAAATTGTACAAAAAAAATTATTGTAACGAGAAAAATGTTTAAAAAAAGTTCCGCTGGGTTTCTTGCTGGTTCTTCCCAGGACAAAACGTATTTTCCGAACCACTGGTAAAAAAATGCATTCCAATAAGTATTATGTAATAATCGATATCGAATAAAAAATATTCTTTTCTATTCTATTTTAGATATATATTTGGCCATAGTCCACTATGTTGCGCTTGTGCTTGTTCTTGGTATTTACATTCTGTCAATACTAGAAACGAGCACACGACGTTGTGAAGGCCTATACATTGCTTTGTGTGTGAGTAACTCGACTCCATGGGGCAATGTATACGCTTTTACAACAAAGTCCCAGAAAATATGCAGGCCTTGTGTATTAAAAAGTTTAAAATTTTTATCACGCAAAAATTGATAATAACCCCTGGAAATGAGGTGATCGCTACCATGCTGTTTCTAAATGTTTTCATACTAATTGTATAAATTAATATATTTAAAATTAATATAATATAATTCGCTGGGTTTCTTGTTTGCGTGGTTTTTTCAGTAAGTACTCTTGTACTCTGTATTGAATAAAAATTATTGTATTCTATTCTATTCTAATAATTTTTGAGTTCCTTACCAATGATAAAAAGAATCCAGCTCATCATCTTCGGTAATTTCATATATAAGAGTTTTAGTTTTAAGATACCGTAATTAATTATCACGTCTTTTATTTTATTAACGTTCATACATAAAATCAATATTCGGTTCCCTAAGATATAATGTTTTTTTTCAATTACATAATATAATTTTTGTATGATATAATGTTTGTAATAAAATTAATTTAAATCAATACATTTTTTATTGCACTTATCTATCCAAGCGATTGTAATATTGTATTTATTTATTCTTTATTGCATTTATTAAAACAAAATAATACAATGTACCGACTTAATGCCTTGAGGTATTCTTTATCAGTTAACCCAGGGTGTGGTGAGAAACTGACGTAAGTGAAGCAATATCGAATAAAAATAAAATAAAAATGATAATTACCTACGTAATATATACATTTTTTAATAAATACGTATATACATACATACATATATACAAATATATACACGTTTATATACATATTTAATTAGTACATACAAATAACTATAAATATATACATCTGTTTAGCAATATATGTGACATGAATGATTCATGAGAAGCATTGTCTTTACCAGGTGATTACGTACCAAATTTTTAAAAGCATACTTATTGGGAGCTTTTCGAGGTCTTCGGGTAAGGAGTTCCAAAGACCTGTAGCCTAAAGGAGTTACCATAGAACTCGGTGAAGTGAACAGGAATACATATTTTGTAATTAAACAGAATTATTCGATTTCAATTAAAATCTAAATTCATAGAATATTATATACGTCAATTGTGTTATTTATATGAGTTACGTAATAATAATTAGTATTGTATCAAAGTTATGTTATATTTTAGTAGATTGTATTATAAAAAAATATGGGAAAATTTTGTTTCACATGACAACCCTTTATTGCACACAAACATACGTGCACGACCGCCATTGCAGTGCATCAGTTCTTTCTTAACAAAATTCTGTCTACCTGTTTTATTAGTCCATGAATGTGGAATTAAATGGTAGTAATTAATAGGATACGATACGTTATGCCAAGGTTCTAAGTTAAAAAATCGTTAAATATATACATACACACACATATATATATATATATATATATATATATATATATATATATATATATAATCACGCCTCTTTCCCGTGGGGGTAGGCAGAGACCACTTCTTTCCACTTGCTACGATCCTTACATACTTGTTTCGCTTCGTCCACCTTCATTATTCCCTTCATACATGCTCTTCGGTTTAGGGTACTCTTGACCTGGCCTTTTTTCAAGACGTTTTATCAGTGGTAGAGCCACGCGGCAGCTTTTGCTGTCGCACGGATGGGCCGGCTCGAACCGGGGTGGTACCACGACCTCACAGAATACCAGCGTGAAGTAGAGGTTTACCTCTGCGTTTCGCTTGGTGAGTGCAGGTGGCCGGAGGCCCTTTTTACTGGAAATGAGGCATTCCATCTTGGTCCTCACGGGTGACAACGCATCTACATTTTAATTTGTAATGGAGGATAGATGTAGAAGTCTATGGGCCGCAGCAACCACTTACCATCAGGTGGACTGTGTGCTCGTTTGTCACCCCTATGTGACCCATAGACATCCACATTTATCCTCAATGAAGAATCAAAATGCAGATGCGTCGTCACCCGTGAGGACTAAGATGGAATGCCTCTTTTCCAGTAAAATAGGTCTCCGGTTCTCTACATTCACCATACGAAACACAGCAGCGTTAAGCTGCTATTTTACGCCGATTTTCTGTGAGGGCGTGGTCCTTCCCCGGTCTAGCCGACCCATTCGTGCTACAACTATACTACTAATATAGTTGCAGCATGGCTCTACCACGTGTAAAAATTTTTGCAATTTTTGTCACTACATCTTCTTTTAGACTACTACGTTTCCTTATCTCACTATTCCTTATCCTGTCACTCAGTTTAACTCCTATCATACTTCTTAACGTTCTCATCTCAAATGCATTTATTCTGCTTTCATGTTTCTTCTGCCATACCCAACTTTCACTTCCGTACATGAGTGTCGGAACCAACACCCCCTCATGCACAGCCAACCGAGCCTTGTTAGACACCTTCCGACTGCTCATAAAGAAGTGCAAAGCGCCATTCACCATGTTTCCTGCATTCATTCTTCTTTCGATATCACTCCCACACTTTTAATCTCTTGTAAACTTTGAACACACACATAGATACACAAACTCCATCACCTGTTCAATTTGTTCATCTCCAATCACGATATTGCAATATGTCACTGCCTCATCTCTTTCAAACACCATCACTTTCGTCTTCTTTACATTCATCTTCATTCCCTTTCTAAAAAACGCTCCACTCATAGCAGTTACCATCTCCTACAACTCCTCGGCCGAAGACGCAAGTAATACTTGGACATCAGCATAGAGAAAACATTTGAAAAGTAACTCATTCGTTCTCAATCCACTTTCATTCTCTTTTAAATCTGTCAAGCAATTGTCCATGAACAGATTAAACAGCCACGGTGACGCTACACATCCCTGTCTAATACCTTTTTCGATATTAAACCATTCAGTGTATGCCCCGTTTATCCTTACACAATCACTAGAATCCCTATAAAGAGATTGCAATGCTCGTATGAGGATACTGCTAAATAGAGGTAAATAATACCTTCTATCTATATTCTACAATAATTAAAAATTCGTTATACCTAGAGGTTGATAATGTATTCGTAATATAGAGGTATACTTTGCATTAGCTCTTACAGGCATTCTTACTGCGAATCCGTTATATAGAGGCTCGTTATATCGAGGTTACACTGTATAATCGAAAACATGAATAAAAACCGAGAAAGGAATATGCTCGTAGTGAATACCAATGCGAAATAGCAGCATAATTCTACTATGAGAATCGGCTACCTTTTTTTAATGGAAACGTGGCATTCCATCAATAAAAATAAGCTAAAACTTTTTATTTTTGCAGGTTCAGTCTACTATTGTAAAGTATTGTATGTAAAGGCCCGTGTCTATCAGTGGCATTATAAATGGCTGATGCAGAAAAGTTAGAATACATTGGAGAATAACCTTGTATCTCCTCGTCACACTCGTGCGACGCAGCAGGCTGCTTGGGAGGTGGCTGCTGGCGTCGGCGAATGACTTCCACCATCAGACTCTGTTCCATCTCCTCGAACTCCGATGACATCACAATAGGCGTGAAATTGTAGTCCTTCACCACGAAACTGATAACACAAATTTTACAATTAACAGAATGCATCATACCTTAGACTAGTCCTAATAAGTTAAACTATACAAGTGTTGGCATTTTGTATAGTTGCCGGTAACATCCGGTGGTAAATACTCAGCTTTGATATTGGCTATGGATTAGGCTTTTGCGGAAGTCAAATCCAAACCCTATTTTATTCTTTGCTAAAATAAAATAAATTTTGTAAGGCTAGATAATAAAACAGTCATTCCATAGATTACTGTATATATACTAGAGAGGTCATTCGCAGAACAATAGTCGTGACGTTTAAACGCGTAGTATTGAATCTATGTAAGTGCTAGTAAAATAGTGAAACGTTAAACGCAATTGTCATTAAGTGTCTCGGTGAGTGATAAGTGATTATATAACGTGAAGCTATATAAAATATACAATCTTAATAGATTAAGTGTTTAATTTTATGTACATTTATTTCATTCCTGTCCGATAGTTCGTCTAATATTTACACAAGCAACTGTAAAATTAAATTAAAGTTAAAGCAACAACTTATATACGTCTCACAGCTGGGTCACAGGTCTCCTCTCATATCTGTGAGTGATTTCAGAGCCAGAAAGCTGTTACGTTTTTCATTTTTTTTTAATTCTCGGACATGCTTGATTTCCTTGCGATGTTTTCCTTCACTATAGAACAGGCGTAATCAGGATTTAAAAAAAACTCAATTAAAAACTTTAATGGTGCCGGCGGGGATTGAAGTCGTTTAATGAAATTTACCTTTGCTTACTTAATTGTGAAATGTGTAATAGATTAGGAAGGAGTTACGAGTACAAGTAATGTATATACGATACATACAGCACAAAAGAAATAACTTCATTTTGGTCGCCACCGATATTGGATAGAAATAAAAAGGCGCCGGGCGCATGTCAGGTAAACATGTAAATGAGAAAGTAAATTTCTACTAACCGTAAGCAATATTCCTTAATGCAATGTAAATTGGCGTGATGAGCTGCATGTAACGCCTTCAGTACATTGCTATAGCACAGGTTGGCACGGAGGAACCGCGCGCACAGGCCGCGCAGACGAGGTATGTTGAGACGAAGAGCCAAGCGCAGTACTTCCATCACCAGCAGTATCGTTGCTGGAGAAGCTGGATTCTCGTCTGCAAACATTTATTATTAATGTTAAATATTTAAAGAAAAACAAAGAACTAAAAAGAATAAAAAATCCACTTAATTGCTTCAGAAGTCGATGCTCAGATGTACGTGAAATTTTATTAAGAGTCAGACTGTACTAGTAAGCAGATCCGATTATAATAATTGATAAGTTTTATATTTTTGTAAATAAAAAAGTAAACATATTTTTTTTAAATAAAGTAAAAACATTCAGCAATCCATGATCAAAACAACTAATTTAAAAAAAAATCTTTTTTTTAGTGAAGCACCTTATTAAGTGGCGAAGCTTTCGAAGTCACTTATTGATTTCACGATGTCTGTCCGTCTGTCCGTCTGTCCCACGATTATCTCGAGAACGGTTTTGAATTTTCAAATTCTGTTTTCAGCAATCGATTACTGATCACCCAGGCATCTGAACCTCCTATTTTGAAACTGATTGCTCAATGGCAACCGTTAGAAACCGCTACAAAGCTGATTGCTTCGCCACTTTGCTATGCTGTTAGCTTGCTAGGTTTATTTAATTCACGATCTCTGTCCGTCTGTCCATCTGTCCCACAATTATCTAGAGAACGATTTTGAATTTTCAAATTCTGTTTTCAGCAATCGATTACTAGTACTACTATTAGGGAACTTCATATAGATTAGGAATGGAAAGTGGAGAGGACAATAACATAATTTAGTTATTCAGTGATTTCAAAACTATTCTTTGTTTCTCAGCATTTAGTAGTAATATATGTACCACATACCCTTTTCAGTAGGATCTATTCTGTCTGTGTAGATATAATTCAGGACCATTCGGAACGCTTCCGGTGTAGCTTCGGGCAGTTTGATGACTAGTTCAGGTGGCGCCTTGTAGTTGTACGCTTCCGTAGGCTTTAGTTCGCCGGCAGCGATGCGTTTCGCTAACTCTTCTCGCGCTTCTCTAATAAAAATAAAACCTGTTTTTATTAATGGTTCTTTAGCTCAATAAGCATTTACAATCAATCAAAAAGTATCCTGCTATGCAAATATCACATACAAAGAGTGTAGTGTTGGGTGGTTCGGGGAATAAATAAAACGTCCAATAGTCTAGACGGTAGGTTTAATACTAACTCTCTCTTATTCTATCCTACATATATATAAGCACACACTACACGTCCATCGGCAAAAAGAAAAAAAAAATCATTTACAAAAATTTTTTTTTTTTTTTAAATGTAACATAACTTGGTTTATAAAAAAAAATTATATAAAAGGTGTACATTACAAAGTATTAAAATTCTTATACTATAACATACTTATATCATAATAAAAAAAAAAATCGTAAACACAGTAATTTTTAATTAATTTTATTTGTATTTATAGTAATAATAACAATTTTATTGTTTTATGTATATGGTCTAGTGCGATTTTTATGTATTGACTTATGTTTACCTTTGTAATCTATTGTTACATTTGGTTCACAATCTTCGATAACCTTAAATGGTCCTATATAAAGAGGATCAAATTTGTTTACACATTGTTCATTCTTAAGGAGTATCATATCACCGACATTATATTTAATTGGATTGGTATAGTAATCATACTTTGTTTTCCTACTTTGTTTGCTTAAAATTAAATTATTTCTTGCATCGTATTGCGATTTTTGAAGTCTATATCTAAGTTGTTGTGGATAATCATATGGGTTATATAAGGGCTCTATATCTAAAGTTAAATTAGTTGGCAAACGGCAAAGCTTCCCAAAAACAAGCTCATATGGAGTATACTTGGTTTCCGTGTGTACAGTGTTATTATAACCAAAACACCAATACGGTAACCAAGTGCTCCAGTTATGTGGTTCATTACCTGTTTGAATTCTGAGAAATGACATCAGATTTTTGTGGCTGTTTTCTAAGGAACCTATAGATTGGTGATGATATGCTGTTGACGTTACCTGTTGCGTTTTGAGAATACGGCACACGTCTTTCATGACGGTTGAAACAAATTCGGTCCCTTGGTCAGATATTATTTGTCGAGGAATACCATATCTCAAAATAAAATTATTGATAAAAGACGATGCCACTGAAATAGTATCCTTATGTTTAAGCGGATAGGCTTCAACATACTTACTTAAATCACACTGTAGTGTGAGTATATAAACATTATTATCGCTATCTTTACATAAGGGCCCTACTAAATCTAAATAAACTCTATCAAAAGCAGAATATCCCGTATCGGTTATCACCATTGGTTCTTTTATATGCTTATTTAAGTGCTTATATCGCAAACACTTGTCACATTGGTTTACATAATTAGTCACATCCTTCTCTAACCCGGGCCAAAAGAATCTTTTCTTTATATTGTTTATCATTCGCCTTATACCGGCGTGACCGCTAGTTGGCAATAGATGATAGTCGTTTAATATTATACGTTTTGTCTCATGATCGTCGATTTTATGGACACCATTTAAAATTAATATTCGCGGTCCGGACCTATTTGGTGTCTCATTTATAATACGAGTTAACTCCCTAATTAATATATTGTTATTATTATTTTGTATAATATACAGACGATCTATCTTTTGCTTATTACAAAAGCAATCCAACTCCCTCACAAAGGCATCTCGTGCACAATATGATCGGAAAGAAGGATTTACATAAATTGTTGACTTTGCTGAGACAAAACAAAATAACTTAGAGTTAGAATAGAACTTTTCTTTCATTCTGTCTATCTTTTTCCATTCTTTTTCGTCTACAAATAATAATTCAGTGCAATCCTTCGGTTGTTTAAGTGTTCCCACGACTTTTGGGTGATCAGTCCAATCGTTGGTGGTAACCTTATCCTCCGTAGGGTTGTCACGCTTATCTTGCGCAATTTTGTTTTTTATTCGCTTTCTTTGCGCTCTTGTTAGAACAGATATGACCTTTTCATTCATTTCTTTCAAATCTTCACTCGAAATTTGGATGCGTGACAAAGCATCTGCAGCTGCATTGTCAGCTCCCCTTACATACGTGATAACAAACTTATACTCCTCAAGCAATAACCTAAACTTCGTAAGTCTACTTGACGGATTTGTCATGTTGAATAAATATACGAGAGGCTTATGATCCGTTTCAATAATGAATTCGCGTCCATATAAATAAGGTCGAAAGTATTTTACTGCCCATACTATCGATAATAATTCCTTTTCGATAGTAGGATAGTTTTTCTCGGCTTTGTTTAAAGTGCGGCTAGCATATGCAACCGGTCGTCCGTCATGATTACATAAAACGGAGCCTATAGCAAAACCAGACGCGTCAGTTTTTAAAATAAAATTTTGGTCAAAATTTGGGTACTGAAGTATGGGAGGAGTCGTTAAAGCATTTTTAAGCGTTGAAAAAGATAGTTTACAGTTTTTATTCCAATGAAATTTAACATTTTTGCGACATAAATTGTTTAGAGGTAAAACGATTTCAGAAAATTTTGGTATAAATCTTCGATAGTAATTCGCAAACGCTACTAGTCTTTTTACATCGTTGGTATTTTGAGGAATTGGGTAATTTTGTAATACTGATATCTTTTTTGGGTCAGGCTTAATACCTTCGGAAGAAACAATGTGGCCAAGATAAAGAAGTTCTTTTTTTAGAAAAACACATTTTTTCGGGTTTAACTTTAAGTTTACTTTTCTTAAGCGTGATAATATTTCTATTAAATTTTTATTATGATTATCTAAGTTTCTGCCAAAACAAATGAGGTCGTCTAAATAAGTGAGCGCTTTTTCGTAATTTAAACCAGCCATGGATATTGTAATAGCACGAGAAAAGGAACTTGGGCTTGTCTTTAAGCCCATTGGCATTCTGGTCATCTGATATTGACCAGAGGGTGTAGTGAAAGCCGTATACCTTCTACTAGATGGATTAAGGCTTAATTGGTAAAAAGCTTGATTGAGATCAAGGTGGGTAAAATACATTGCTCCTGATAAGGAATCTAATATGTCTGTAATATTGGGTAACGGAAATTTGTCATCTACAATACAGTTGTTTAATTTTCGAAAATCGATAACCAAGCGCCAGCTCCTGTCCTCACCATTTTCTGGCTTTTTGGGTACAAGAAGCACAGGACTTGACCACTCACTGCAAGCTGGTTCAATAATTCCGTCTTGTAACATATTTTTGACTTGTGTTTCTATTTCGTTCCTCTGAGAATAGGGTAATCGATACTGTTTTACATACACTGGGTCAATATTAGGTTTTAACTGAATATTATGTTCATATAAGTTACAAGTTGTTAATTGATCTCCTGGCAATAAAAATATGTCGGAAAATTTTGCACAAATATGTATAATAGAAGATTTTTCCTCTTTATTTAAATGATCCAAATTTAATAAATTTAACATTTTATGAACGCGTTCGGGATCAATGAGACTTTTATCAAACTTACAAATAGAATAATTATGTAAACTATCGGTTTCAGGTCTAAAATAACTAAGATTGACCGGATCCTCTCGTGTATTTAATATTTTTATTGGTATCTTCCCGTTATTCGCTTTGACAATTCCACCAGACAGAAATACTCCCTCGCCATAACTCTTTCGGAAAGACAACACAATCTTCTATCATACTCGCATTGATATAAAATAAATTCTCGCATCTCGGAGGTATACTCAAATAATTATTATTTCCCAAAATACCCATATGCAATGGCAAAGTTACTAATTCATTCATATTATGCAGTGTAATAGTATTCAATTCAAAATTTATGTTACAATTAAATTTACGTAAAAAATCTATACCTAAAATTCCAGAAGTTTCACACGGCAACTGCTTTATAACATGAAACTTATTATTAAATTTCAGCCCGTCAACAGACAATGTTAAATCAACAAATCCCACGGTTTGTAATTTGCCTCCAATTCCGTTTATTGTAATCGGTTTCTTTTGTAATGAAATGTTTAGTTTACTAAGCGTGTCATATTTAATCACACATAAAGAAGCGCCGGTATCTACGAGCCATCTACATTTGATACCATCTATTGCTAACTCAACACAATTACTATATTCGCAACTAAATATATTATTGGTCTCGAAAAAATTCTAGGTTATTTTCACTATTATCGTTATTAGGGTTAATTTCAATATTTTGAGAACTTTGCGATACGCGATATTCTGGTGTTATAAAATGAACTCGCTGGGCATTTTGACCACGAAAAGATCCGCGATTCTGGTATGAGTACTCACCATAATTACCTTTTTTCCCGCGGTGTTGTTGATTTCCACACGAAAACTTTTGGGGTACCGGTTTCCTCCAATTCACATTATTTTTTGCTTGGGTATGCCAAGGATATGTTTGTCGTGGTACATTATTGGATGTATACCTACCACGAAAATTTTTACGCGTTCCTGAACCACCTCGATTTCCGAAATAAATCGATGGTTCGGTATACTCGCTAGGTCGAACACTAGATGTCTCCTCATCCTTTGCAGCTCTAATTGTTTCTTTTAACGTACTATAATTGCGTGCTGACAAAATAATACTGAGTTGTCGGTTTCGCAAGCCATTTGTGAAACTTTTAATAGCGATCTTTTCATTTATAGGACGTAAAATTTTATGCGCGTTTTGGTCACCATCGGCTTGGGAAATCGTCAAATCTACGAATAATTGTTCGATTTTATTGCCATAATTATCTAGGGAACTACTATTTTGTCTTATTTGCATTAGTTCGTTATGAATGGAAGTGTAAGATTTCTTTGTTAAAAGGTGGTTCCGCATATCACTTATAAGCGCCTCGCATGAGTCATAGGAATCTAATAGGCGTAACTTAGCACCTTCATTCAAACGAGTCTTTAACACAAATTTTATTAACATAGACTTACCTTCTTCTTTAAGCGAAGAGCTATATAACTCTATCGAGTCCATCAAGGTTTTGGTGACCGATTCCTCGCCCGTCATCACTGGCAGGAGTGACACAGCAGTTTTAAAGTCGAAACT